AGGTGTCACAACTTGTGGAACTACCACACAAGAGGTCGAGATGTAGGATCAACCAAGGGCAGTTAATAACAATGCACCTATGGCCTATCATATGTTTCTTGCTATAGCCTGGCTTTTGTCTATGCACAGGCACAAACATTTGTCCCTTGATTGCCCACTTCACCACTCACTGACTAGTTGACAACAGTCTCATGCGCAACGTCTTTGTTGAACCTGTTGGGTGTGGCTTGACTCTGTCCGATTCACGAACTCATTCCACCTACAGCTTGCACAAACATCTCTCAATGTTTAGACGGAGTCGGATTTCGTCGATATCTTCGATCACGAGGTGTGTCGCTTCCGCAGTCAAAAGCTCTCTCCCTCCAAACTGCTTGAAAATACCGCCTTCCTCTTATCCCACGTGGACGATGCCCTTAAGCTCTTCTCCAACCGTTCAGAGGAGAACTTGACCGAGTTGCGAAACGCCAACGTCCCTGCCGCTTCACATGTCACTGGCCTGCAACCACGAGGTGCTCTAGACGGTCCGCCATACAGTGCACTGCCCTTCAGTCAATTGGAACACATCCAACGCATTATCGCTGTCTACCTCTGTCTCCACGCCTATCTCTGCGAGTACGTGTTAGCGGGAGAGACGATAGGCGAACCTCTGAATGAGGTCACTTCACCAGCACTAGAACGGATTTCTGCCTTTGCATCATTTGGGGACATTCCACCCACTGGCAAAGTCCTCGTGTCCAATTCCTGCTCATTTGACATAAGTGGGTTGGCCATGTAGCATTCTTTATGCAGCTCATTGTCGGCATTTTACATGGCTGTAGATTTGAAAGTAGTCTTATTAACGAGAAACAAACATCCACAAGGAGAGAAATGCACTGCTTATTGACTGCATTTTGATGTGCTGAAGCCATTTTGCTGGCAATGCGTCTTTCATTTGGCCTTCCTTCCCTAGGTGAGTACCAACTCTTCGGTTGCAAGGTGGAGCATCAAAGTGGGTAGGTTTGTCATGTGTTTCTTGTTCGATGCAACGCCTGCCTCAGTCTTGTAACTTGGCGGTTCACGCGACATATGTCAGGTGGTAGAGTCAAGAATCAAAATGTTAACCTAGCTTTGTTGTTTCCACTCCTTACATTTCAGGCAACACGAAAAGCAGTACTTCCTTCTGACCGAGTTGCAAATTGTGTCTGTAGTACCAAGCCATCGCAAAATTGGTCTTGGAATCGTCGTTTTCTGTGGACTCATTCAGGTGCCTCATTCATTTCGCATTTTTTACTCCATTCGGCCTTTGAACACACATCGTTCTTGCACTCATTTTGTCGACTTTTTTGGATCCAAACGTCGTCTGATTGAGAACGTGGTTATTTATTGAAATGATTTTAGCCTAATTTGCAAGTTTAACGTCTAGGATACGGAACTGCGATGTGACCCAACAGATGACTGTGCCCTAATCATCGTGGCGTACAAGCCGGGTGATCGATCTAGGCTCACTGTGAGACGAACTATGATGGAGGCAGGGCCCGCCTTCTCTTCCTCTCCCTCCTCCTCCTCCTCCTCCCCATTGCCCAACGTCTTTCCTATCATAAATGCTAAGCTGCGATTCTGCACATCCTTCCAGTGCTCCGCATTCTACAAAATGGCGACTTATAGACAGGAAAAAATCGTCGCTTCAAAACAGGAAAAGTTGAAACAGTTAGTTTGCGTCCGTCTATTTATAAACTCACCACTTTGCTGCTCTGTCTGGTTTTTTTTTTCGCGATTCAACGACTCCTAAAAGCCGCTAGCTCTTAGGCACCCTCCTTATCGGTTCACACGAGGGATCTGCGACTGGCATCCTGGGTGTAGATCCAATCGTGATGTAAGGAGAAGCTAAAATTGGACTAACCAAAAACTATCGACAATCGGTTTCTTTAATCCTTTAGAATGCTGAGTGTGTCGGATAAACCAATCCGGCCGAGTGTTCAAGCCATACTGAGCGAGGGAGCGCCTAATCAACCCCGTCTGCATGCTCCGCTTACGATCGCAAAACCACTGAGAAGCACTAGTTCAGCACCCACCACCCTCCTGCAAAAAGCCAGGGCCTACTCACTCTCATCCGCCCCTTCTGTCAATAATCACGCCCCTCACGATATTCCTAATTCCACTGCAAGTTAGCTCCTCTCGATTTGAAATAGCAGAAGTGAATACGCGTCTTCTTTGCATCAACTTTACCGGTGGTAACTTTTTAGGCAAGACGACGGGAGAGATGCAGGCCATAGCAATGGTAGACCTCATGCGTCGACACAACACCTTTAGGACGACGTCCCCTGAGTAGCGTGTTTCCCGGTGAGGCTGAAGGTAGCAATGTATAGCTCCATCTTTGCCCCTTCCCCTCTCTTCGTATCGCCTTACTTCGCTGTCAACAAGAAATATAATCTCAACTGCTTTTGATGTCGATTTTATACAGGAAACAACAGTGGATGAGGGAGTTAATTATCGTCTCTTGGCTTCACGGTTGATTCGGTGGTAGGTATGAAGGAGAGAACGA